TCCAGCTCTGGGCCCCGGGCCAGGCTCCTGCTGGGCCTGGCGTCTGCTTCTGCTTCCCTGCCGGTCACCAGCTGGTCGGGAAGGTGAGGCGGAGGCGGAGGCTGCTCTGGAGTGGTGGGGACATCTGCGTGGGGAAGCAAGCGACAGGGACACACTCAGCTTTGTGTGCTGGGCCTCGGCCAGCGTTCTGCTCCCGCCTGAACCAAGGCCCAGGGACGTGTGGGACACGGCCGGTGCTGGGGCGGGGCCTGGGGAAAGCGTTTCAGGGCCCAGGGTCACCCTGACTGACAAAAACCTGGGGCGTGGGCACAATTGGCCTGTGGCCTGTGAACGCACGTCCCACACAGACCTGGCCTGGGCTGGCTGTGCCGGACGCCATGGGCCACCTGCCTGATGACAGACACAAGACTGGGAAGTCACTGTGCTCAGCGTGCCCAGAACTTCAGGCCATTCCAGAGTCTAGCATGGGGACAGTCACCCAAGAAGGAGCCCACTGCAGTATTTAAAACTTTTTTTTAGCTTACAAAACCCTGGAGGTGGTGCGTCTCCTCCGCGGTGCAGAGCTGGCACCCGTCAGGGGCCCGCCAAGGCCGCGCCCTCGGAGCTTACCCACGGGGGCTGGAGGGAAAGCAGGAGGCTTTGCCCGGGGCAGGTGTTTCCAGAGTGGCATTCCCCATTTTTGGTGTTTTTTAAAATCCTCAAATAGACCGGGACAGGTGACGGCCTGTCTGCTCTCCACTGATGTGCGGGCCTGGGAGGGCACGAGGAGCCAGGGGCTTCACGGCGGAGGGAGGTAGAGGCCGCGCACCGAGAGGCTCCGCGGGAGGGCCATGGGCATCCCTCTTGGGTGGCAGATCCTTATTCGTACAGATCTGGGGTCAGCAGAGCACAGGCTGAGGGCCGAGGGGCACCGCGTGGCAGCGCCCAGGTCCTGGGGAGGTGGACCACGGTTTGGGTTCAATGTGATTCCAGTTCAATTAGGTTTTCTTTTGTCTTTTAAGCCAAGATAAAACAGAAAGGCCAACTGAACACAGAGCAAGAGAATGGAAAGACAAAGAGCGAAACAAGATCACACAGCGGGGGTGGGAGGGAGAGTCCTGGAGGCCGGCGGGCGGGCGGGCGGACAGGGTCACTTCTCCCCAAGGCCCCCCCACCCCGTTCTCTGGGGTGGTGCTGGGGACAGAACCCAGGGCCGGGTGCATGCTGGGCACGTGCTCTGTGCTCTGCCCCCAAGCTGCGGCCCCAGGCATCCGGAGAGAGAGAAACAGAAGGTCCAGGAAAACCGCTGCCTGGGACCTGGGCCTGTCCTCGCTTGGGAGGTGGCAGCTGGCACCAGTCGGCACGGGGGACAGCGTGAGCCCTGCAGAGCCGGAGTTCCTGCTACTCGCGAACTCTGACTCGCTCCACCGGGAAGGACACCCGAGGAGCCGGGCCACTGGCCGCCCCTAGCACGACCCTCTCCGCGCACCAGAAGGTGTGCCTCTGTGAGCAGGCGGGGTCCTGGGCTCTGGTGGCCTCCACAGGCTTCAGATGGCCAGAGCCTCTCCAGGAGTCAGGCCCGAGTCCAGCAGCGGACAGGCACTTGAGAAAGGACCAGTTCTCCAGCGGCCCTGTCCTGCCTCGGGGACAGAGGCGACCCGTTCCCTTGGCTGTTCTCGAAGCTTCCACGCAAGAGCTCCTTCTTGGCTGCAGCCTAGGTCTGCAGGTGACAACCCTGGTCCCCGGTCCCCGGTGGGGCTTCTGGGGAGAGCACAGTGAGCCCCATTCAAAAAGCAGACCCGCCAACAAGCAGCAGCACATGCCAACTGGACTCTGTAGGGGAAGAACCCCCCACTCTTGTAAGTGGTGGGTTGACCCCTGAGACCCTTCTCACTGACCCCGTTCTCCCTCCCGAGCCTCGCCTCGCGCCTCTCCTTTCAGCCCCTAAGAGTGGCTTCCTGCATGGCCCCTACAAGTCCATCCAGCCGAGGGGGAGCAGGGCGGCAGCCGGGTCTGCCCGGGAAGCCCAGCAAGGACCGTGTTCTGGTCCAGTCTTGGCTGCAAGGTTATTACTGACCCCTGGGCGTAGCTGGGCTCCTGGTGTTTTCGAGCCCCAAGGCCAGCCGTTGGGCCCAGAGTGTGAGGGACTGGAGGGAGTCTGACTCCTGCCCGTGGGCTGGGGACACAGCCGAAGCTGGAGGAGGACCCAGCAGGGGTCCTCCCAGGACTCTGGCCCCCCCCCACCCCCGGCCAGCACCCCCGAGGCTGGTCTGCAGCTGTGGGGCGGGGCCTCAGCTGACCCTTGCCAGTGGCCATGTTTCAGCACAGATCTCAACTTGGAGCTCGGCTGGGAGAGGCGGGCGGCGACAGGAGGACAGCACAGCAGCCAGAGGCGGAGCTTAAGCAGCGGAAACAAAAGAGGACAGCAAGCAAGACTGCCCGAGGGACAGGCCAGCCACCAGGGGCAGCGTCCCGGGCGGGCGGCCGCCGTGGCCTGGCCCTCAGACCACCCTCGCCCGGTGGCATTCAGCGTGAGGGCACTCCTGCTTGTCCTGTGTTCATGAGGGAGCTGACTCGGGGCCTCTGGCTGGAAGGGGACGGAAGGTGCCGGGGCTTCGGCAGGGCCAGGGGAGAGAGATCAGGTGACTCTCAGTGCTCCATCAAGTTGTGGCTCTCAGGCAACTGCCACCCACGCCCAAGGCCTGGCTGTAGGGACCCACAGGGCTGCCCCAGGAGGCTGCCTCTGGCCCTGGGCTGGCCTGGTGCCGGGAGGACTGCAGGGTGGGGACAGTGGGGGACGGAGCAGCGGCCTGGGGAGGCGAGGACAGGCCGCTCCGCGCGGCTTCTCCCTGGCCAGCCTGGCCCTGACTCCCACAGACCCTGACCCGCAAGGCCGTGGGGCGGGGACACGGGGCCCGTGGGGCTGCCGGAGGAGACCTGCCTGAGGTGACAGTGCGCGAGGTGTCCTGGCAGCCGCAGTTCCCAGCACTAAACCCAGTGGCCGCCGTGACTGTCGGCCTCCGACAGGCTGAACACTCGCCGGCGTCCTTTCCTGCCACTCCTGACTAGAGGGAAACACAGGGACAGATCATAGAAAGCCTTCGACAATGGAGCAGCAAGGGGACGTGCAGAGAGGGACACACAGCACCGACGGACGCAAAGCATCGACGAGAGTGGGGCCAGGGCCTTGCCGCTGTGGCTCCTGGCAGCGGACGCGCGGGCCCAGCCCCGGGCACACAAGACGCCCGCCACCCCTCGGGGTCGGCCAGTCGGGAGAGCCAGGAACCAAACCACGCACTCGTGCGCCTTAGTAGGGTGAGGGACGGGGGCGGTTTGGCCCTGTGGGGAAGGAAAGACGGGTCATTAGCAACTTCCAGACTCGGTCAGAAACCTCAGGGACAGAAAGCAAAACTGCCCATCCGTTTTAGCTTAACAACAGCCCGGGGCGGGCGGGGGCTGGGGACCGGGCCAGACCAGCTAAGTGAACCCAGCAGATTCCGGCCCGAGTGTCGGGGCAACACTCTCCCCCACCCACGGTGACTGGCCTTAGAAGACCCGAACCTCTGCAGGGACAGTGGGTGGCCAGGGTGGGCGCTCATCGGTGGAACAGAAGTGTCAGGAGCATCTCACGGCTAAGGGGGTCACAACTTAGAGACAAACTCGGGACAAGAGCAAAGGCCAACGTCATGCCACAGAACACAGGCGAACGCACTCACGCGCTCGGGCACCGCAGGGCGGAAGGTGGCAGGTTTGTTATATGGATTTTACCACATTAAAAACAAGTGCCAGGGAGAGGCAGGGACAGGTCACGCCTCCTCCTCGGGGTCTGGCTCGGGACTCGAGGGCTGCGTACAGAGACGTGCAGCCCAGTCTTGGGGTGTCTGCTCCCAGCTCCTGAAATGAGGGTGTGCGGCTGAAGATGGCGTGCCCAGACCAGGGGTGCGGGGAGCAGGCGAGGGAGGGGAGGGACCACGGGGTCCCGGCTTAACCACCGAGCCTCATCCCCAGCCCTGCTCATCTTTTACATAAGACAGGGTCTCAATGACTTGCTTGGGGCCTAAATTGCTGAGGCTGCCTCTGAATTTGTGATCCTCCTGTTTCCAGGCATGTGCCACCGCACCCTGCCCTCCTTCCTCCTCCCTGTACGACCCTGGGGAGGGTCAAAGGTAGCCTCAGTTCACAGCCTAAACGGCTCTAAAATGAACATTAAGAGGACAGGCTGACCTTCATTCTGACATAATTTTCTAACAAACAATTTTCTGTCCTCTGCAAAGTAGCCCATCTGGAACCCGTGTGAAGCCCAGCAACTGCGGAGACAGAGGTGCGACTGGCTGTTTAAGGAACCCAGGGCAGGTCACAGAGCGCTCATCCGAGGGGACGGTTTTCTTTTCTTTTCTTTTTTTCTTTTTTGTTGGTACTAGGGATTGAGACCAAGGGCACTCTGAGGTACATCCTTAGCCACCCCCCATCTCTTTTTTTAGACAAGGTCTTGCTAAGTTGCTGAGGCTGGCCTTGAACTTGAGATCCTCCTGTCTCAGCCTCCCAAGTCACTGGGATTACAGGCCTGCGCCACCGTGCCTGGTCATGAGGACAGGGGGTTTGTCAGAATTCCATGAAGGGAGTGTGTGCGCGACTGTGGTGACTGTGTGTGCGTGTGCAGCTGGTGTGCACGCACGCCCGGGCTTGCGGGTCACTGTGCGGGTGTGCGGGGACCTGGGAGGTGAGGTTCTCCTCGTGGCCTGCGCTGGGGTCTGAAGCCGGGCCTACCCCCTCCCCCGCCTGGCGTTTTCTGCAGTTTCAGCTTCTCAGAAGCATCAGCTGTTGAGGGGAAGGACGCGGTTCCAACCCTGTCACTTTCTCACCAGGGATCACGCTGAGGTTCCTCAGCCTGGTTCTGCTGCAGGTGTGGCCACAGACGCCTGGGCCCCGGACACTGCAGCCCAAGGTGTCCCCCCCCCCACCCTCCCCACGAGGCACGCAGGGTCCACAGCACTTTCTTTAAAGGCCCGTGAGCTGGGTGCCCCTAGTCCTGGTACTTGGGAGGCTGAGGCAGGAGGATTGCTCGAGCCCAGCAGTTGGAGGTCAGCTTGGGCAACACTGTCGCATTAATAAACAAATGGCAGTGGGCGAGAACTGACTGGTGCAGGGGTATCACGCTGGCCATTCAGGTCCCCTGGGCACGGCTTTGATAGGCAAAACACCCCACAGTGAAGGGAAAACCCCTCTGGTTGGGTCCAGGGTGTCAGGGACTTCAGCTGGGCCTCTGACTTGAGCTCTCCAGGGCATCTGCAGCTGTCTCGGGCTTGGGGAGGGACCCAGAAGCCGGTGCTGTCAACACTGAGGGAGCCCCTGGTGACCAGGGCACCCTTTCCAGCTCTGGCCAGGGCCCTACTGGGCTAGGCCTGCAGGTGCTGAAGTCACGGCAGGGCCACCAGCCTTGGGCCTGACAGCCACAGGAATGCCTCTCAGAGACCACTCACGGCCTGTCCTGGGGAGGCAACCCGACAGGGAGGCCCGAGAGACGGGAGAAGGGTTCCCTGGTGGCCAGCAAGATGGAGGGCTTGGGGCCCTGGTGGACCTGTGAGAGACCCTGGGCTGCCTTTCTCACGGATCCCTGGCCTGGTCAGTCTTTGGCTCTCACTCCAGTGATGCCTCCTCTGGGCGCCTCTGGAACCTTCCACAGCTGAGCTGTGCTGGCGGATGAAGCCCCTGCAGGTCTCCTTTGCAGTGGTCTGTGACTGCACAGGTCTGAGGGACCTCAGTGACCCTGCTCACTTGTGGGACCAGTCCCCGCTGACCCTGGTGCCTGTGCTTAGCAGGGGCTCCACACGAGCCAAGGAAATGGGGTTGGGCATGCCAGAAGCCGGGCAGCTGGGGGGACTGAGAAGGCGGGCTACGGCCGGGCTGGTGGAGGGACCTCTGGGGTCAGGTCTCAAGTCCACAAAAACAAAAGGGACAGCCTGACTCACTGAATCCCGGAATCCCAAACTAGGGCCCACAGGAAGCTGAGAACATCTGTATTTGGGATAAACAGGGGCCTTGGTCAAACCCAGGCAGGAAGCGTAAGGTCCCCTGAGCTGGACAGAACCGGAGCGAGCGTCAGCTGGCTTTGCTCCCGCACCTGGGGGACCCACAGGGGCTGGCAGGAGAGGTGCGGTGACTGACCAGTGATACAGTGCGTATTGGCTGATCTGATACACGGACATGTCGTGTGGTGGTGAGCTCAGGCCGTGAACGTGTCCAGCCCCTCACACTGCCCTTTCTTGTGTTAGGAAACATGTTAACCGGGCAGCAGAGCGGCCCCTGGGCTGCAGAACACCAGACCCCACCTCACAGAACTGGATTCTGTAACACCCTCGTTTTTAAGGATATCCTTGTACAATCTAAGTTTTCGAAACTGTGGAGCAGCACCTTGGGAAACTGGGCCTGTCCCGTCAGGGGTGGACGGCACCTCTACACTTTCCCCACCAACACCTGGCTAGGCGAACTGTGGCTTCCATGGCAGAGGCGGGCCTGGCCGCTGCCAGCTCCACGGGGCACCCTGCACTCTGGGAGGCTGTCAACCCAGGGACAGGAGTGCTTCTGATTCAGCACTGTGCCCTTAAACACCACTTTGAGGACAAGTGGCCCCATGGGTGGACAGGCTGGGGCAAGAGGTTCCTCCAGCCTACGCGGCTGCCCGGCTGGCCCTCTGGAGGACAGTAGCTGGCCCTCGGTGGGTGGAAGGTCTGGCAGGTGGCCCAGGGCCGACTTTCCCCGATCAGGAACTCAGCACTGGGTTAGTGCTCAGAGCCAGTGTCAAACCAGGCCACTGGCGGAAGGGCCCCCGTCCCAACTCAAGGTCCCATTCCTCCTCCCGTCCTTGGCTTTTCCTCCAGCAGCTTTGTAGGACACCAGGCAGATGCTGGAGCCGGCTGGTGAGAAGCAGGCTTTGTTCTGCTCGGCCTGCGGTGGTCGAGGGCTGGCCCGGGAGCCTGGCATCAGGGCAAGAGGAGCCTGTGGGCTCTGCTGCCCCCCCTTCCAGGGATCAACAGCTGGGTCCCAAGGTGTCTGTGTCCCTGTGTGACGGTGAAGTGAAGTTGCCCGCAGGCTGATCGTCACCAGGCGCTGGCTGTCTTGCAGTCTGAGGTGGGACCTGGGCCTCAGGCTTTTATTGTTGTGTGGCATAAAAAGCAGGGACCTGTGTCCTTGTCTCCGCCAGCCTGCTGGGACACACTGAGCGGGAGCAGACACCTCAGAGGTCCCGTGACTGGCTGGGACTGCCTGGCCACCTGACAAGCAGGGCTACCAGCCCTGGGCCCTGCGGGGAGTGGTGGGGACAGGGACGGAAGGGCGGAGGAAGGCCGGGGAAGGCTGGGACCCCCTGGGGGTGCAGCGCCAAGCGCCAGCCTCCTTCAGGTGGGCATCCACGGGCTGAGGCCTGATTCTGGTAACGTGGCACCTGCTGGTTTCGGTTCTGGGCTCATGTGTCCACTCAGCCGTTGGCTGTGTCTCCTTATCAATGTGAGGGAGGCGTGCGGGCTGTGTGGGGCGAGCTCTCCAGGTAGCAGCTGTCACACGCAGACACGGAAACACACGGCAGGTGTGCACACGGGGCCACATGGACACAAGCACGGACCAGGTTCAGCGGGGACCTAGGGCCATGTTCTGGGAACACCGTGACGGTTGCTCAGACCTGTAACCAGTCCCAGATGGGTTCTCAGAGTGTGTGGCCACCTCCGCCTAGCCTGGGACAGGGAGGGGAGAGGATACCAGGGGAAGAGGGTCCCAGCGAGTGGCTTGAGGATGACCTTCACAGGCCTGGGGGCCCAGCTGTGGTGCTGGGTGGCTTCACTCCACTGGGGATGTGAAGCTGGAGATGCTGGGGGGAGTCCAGGTGCCCAGGGACGCTGGCTCTGGGGCTGGGTGGCGGCGAGGCCAGCGCCCCTTTTTCCGTAACTTAATGAGACTTTGGTCAGGTGCCCCTGAAGTACAATGGGCAAGGGCACTTGAGTGGATCTTGTGGGGACAGTGAAGGCACCGAGGGTACCCAGGCTGGTGTCACTGGGACCCTCCAGGCCCACGGTGGGGACGCCTGGGGCGAGACGTACCGTCCGCTGGTGGCCACCAAGGTCTGTCCCCGCCTGAGCCCTGCTCCTCGCTGCACTAGGGGCCGAGCTGATCAGGAACCTCCCGTGTCCTCCTCGCTGGGAGTCTCTGGGTGCTCAGGGGTGAGTGGCAGGAGGCGGCTGAGGTGGAGGCCGGGCTGGTGGGGCAGCCCCTTCCTGGCTGAGTCCAGGGGCTCCGGGACTCGGTGCCACGTTTGGACTAAGTTAAAGGACAGCAAGATGCGGTCCCACACAGCCTGAGGAGCCCTCCAAGGGCACGGGGCCCTTCGGCAGGCGAGTGGACACCAGCCGCACGTGGCAGAGCGTGAGCAGTGACACGGCTCTCTGCAAGGTTCACAGGTCACTCCTGGGAGGTCCCTGTGCTGACACCTGAGGCTGTGGGGTGACGACCAGCGGGTTTCAGGTGACCCCCCCTTGTCTACCCTCTCAGCTCTGTATTCGGGGAGGTGCTTGCAGTGCAGCAGACTGACACAGGAGCTAGCCCGAGCCATGGAAGGTGCCCTCCTGAGTGACAGCGTCCCCCAAACACTGTGACACCGTCACTGGGTATCAGTGGTCACAATGGAGGCGAGGGACCAGGGGTTCTCCAAAGCCCCTACCCCTCTGAGTCACGTGGTCAATACCTGCTGGGCTCTGGGCTGCGGAGGGGGTGGAGGATGAGCCCCCCGAGTCACCGTGGCTGGTGTTCCCGCTGCCGCTGGGGCTCCCGCTGGCAGATGGTGGTGACGGCGATGACAGGGATGGCGAGCTGTGCTGGTTTATGCACTGGGCCACGGCGAAGCCTGCAAGACAACAGACGCTGTCAAGCGGGAGAAAACCGGAAGGCCAGTGGGAGGTCTTAGATGTCAAGGCGACTGGACCCCATCCCAGTGCCCAGAAGGCCTGGGCCTGTTCTCCAGAATGAGCTGACTGGTCAGGGGCCGACCTGGACACATGTGAAGCTGTGTCCTGGGAGAGATGGGGGCAGCCCTTGAGCCCGGGCAGGGTTGGGAGCTGTCCATCTGTGCCTGGGGTTGGCCCAGCAGCCTGTGGGCTCTGCCCTTGAACGGGACGTGCAGCCACAGGCTCCTGGGACAGAGTTCACACAGTCGCGGGGCGTCGGGGGCCTCAGGGGACACCCCCTACTCTGCTACAGGGACGGCACCGGATGCCAACTGGGAAGTCACCCTGGGCTGGAGGGGAGCCTGGAGTCTTCCTGCCAGCGATGTGCTTGGCCCTGGGCTCCAGGGAGGTGGGACCTGGAGCTTCTGTGATCTGTGGCCACTAGCACACGGAGGGCACAAGCTCTATGTCTCAGAAACACTTGGACCTAGACAGCGGCACCTGCTGCCCCACTGGAAGTACGGGCCTGCAGTGGCCATGTTTCTCTCGTCTATTTTCCAGCAACGGGCTGAGGACAGTCGTCCACCCTCAGGACCCCACTGCTGGGGGAACAGCAGATGGACAGACCTCAGTCCCTCGACCCAGGCCGGCTGCCCCCTTCCAGGACACGAGCCCTCCTGCAGCCACAGCGCCTGCCCTTTCAACACTCTTGCGTGGCTCCCCTTCAGCCCTCGGGAGCTGGGCAGGCCTCCTGTGCTCTGGACCAACGACACGTACCAGGTCGGGATGGGGTTGGGGCAGGCCCTCCTATTCGAGCAGAGCGAGGACACTGAAGACCCTGGCCATTCTGCATGCCTCGCCACCGTCCGAGTGGACACCTGCACTGTAGCCAGCCCTAGACCTCTCCACGCCCTCTGCCCTGCCTGAGCCGCTCAGGTCCAGCCCTGGCTAACACGTCTTCGGGAAGGCCCTCGGTGCCCGGGTCTCCCTTTTGCAGAACCCAGGAACGCAGCCTGCAGCCCTGGGACCTGGTCTACGGGCAGTCGGGCTGCTCTCTGGCCTGGTGGCAGGGCTGAGGGGTTGCCATGGCGACCGCAAAACCTTCAACGTTTCACCACTCGGCTCCAGAGAGAAGCAGGGTGCTGACCTGGTGCAGAGGACGGCGCGCAGGCTGCGGCCCCAGGGCAGCCTGGTTTCACTGTCCGTCCACCTGCCAGCCACGGCCCCAGGCAGCCCTCACCTAACCCATCTGCTCCCGAAGCAAACTGCCGGGACCACCACTCAGATGAGGCCTGGCAGGCAGCTCTACGCATGGAGGGGACCGTGCTCAGGACCAAGAGCCTGCCCTGTCCACTGCAGGGCTCTGCTTATGGGGAACTGTGGGATCCGTGTCCAGAGGGCGTATGTGACTGACAGATGCTTGTGGGGGGGAGCCCTTGGGGGGGAACCAGGGCAAACATCCGGCGATCCACACACCGGCCAGGGAAATTCCTTGGGGACAGCCAGCCGCAGCCTCAAGAAGGAGTTTTACTGCCGCTCACTTCTTAATCGCTTAAAGTGGTAAACCCTCCAGTTTACAAGCTGTTTACTTGCCTCGAAAATGAATTACCCCTGAACAAATCAAAGCGTCAGGCGGCTTTCCCAGGCTGCCTCTCCATCAGAGGCACCATCACAGGGCCGGGGGGCCCGGAGATGGGATCGAGCCTGTAAGCCCCTGACGCCGACAACGAGCCAGGCCCCCGTGGACGAAGATGCGGCTGTGACCCAGGTGGCCAGGCCCCTTTCTCTGAAGACACAAGTCTTCCCTGTGGCTCTCTGTGGGACCCGGGTGGCTGAGGATGTGGCTCCTGGTAAAGCACCTGCCTCGCAGGCAGCAGACCCTGGGTTTGTCCCAGAGCCACAAGGAAAAAAACAGGAAAGACAAAAAACGAAAGTCCTCTCACTGGGGGGATGGGTTGGGGGTCGAGCAGAGACTGGCAGTAAGATCTGCATGTCACGAGAGTTGGAGAGGCAAGACCCCCGCCCAGGTCCTGTGCGCCAGCAGGTCCAGCAGAGTAGAGGCGACTGGACCATCTTGCCCTCACCTGCCACTGCTGAACCCCAAGTCCTCCTCCCTCCTCTCCTCTCTCCCCTGGGCACTGGGGCCCAGAGCGACAGAGCATTCTGTTCTTCTGGCCAGGTGCCAGACTGCCCCTGCGGTTCCAAGGGGCTCCCTCCCACTCTGGGAGTGGCCGGGCCATCTCAGAGGGCCAGGAGGGCACCTGAGAGAACTTCAGCTGAGCACCTGTGGCCCAACGCCCTGGCTTTTGGTTCTTGCTTCGGCCAGTGAGTGGTTCTGGGCCCGTGTGAGATCCACACGCACGGCCTTGCGAACAGACGAGCCAGCGGCCACGGGACAGGCCGCAGGCACACGGGCTCCTGGAGGCCCTCCCAGGGTCTGGCGCAACCACAGCCTGTGAGACGTGGACCGAAGGCCGTGGGGACTTGCACAGCCTCCCACCCGTTCTGCAGAAGTCGCTGTGGACCCAGGAAGTCAGTGCAGGGCAGGGGACTGTCAAGCTGACAGACGGGTCCAGTGCCTGGGAGAAGCGAAGGACCAGCACAGCTAGATGGTGCAAGCCTCCGCTGCCGACCAGAATGCTGGCAGAAGGGAAGAGCAGCTCGGAGGGAGCCCGCTGCGGCGGCCACGCCTGCGGTCCCGGCCACTTGGGAGGCTGAGGTAGGAGGACTGCCAAGTTTGAAGCCAGCCTCAGCAGTTTAGTGAGGTCCTCAACAACTTCAGTGAGACCCTGTCTCAAACAACAAAAAGGGTTGGGGATGCGTAGCTCAGTGGCAAAGTGCTCTTGGGGGCTCAATCCCAGCAACCCCCCCCCCCCAAAAAAAAAAGAGCATCAAGGGAAGTGTTCAAGAAACCGGGAGAGAGATGGTTAGAAGCGGCCTGTCCTGTTGAGGACGTCTGGGCTTTCTCTCCACCTGGTCCAGGTCAGAGAGCTGACGAGGGGGACGGCGTGGAGCAGAGGACGGGGTTCTCCAGGGAGAGGCTTCTTTTCCCTTTGGTGCCTGAGTTTCCTGACCCCTAACGTGACACCAGCTTGAACCAGGGTAAAGGGGGGGAGGGAGCACAGCTGTGGGGTGCAGTGCAGACCCGGCTGATGCTCCCGTTCCCGGGACCCAGCCCGGCCTCCAGGGCTCCCCTGGCTCCCCAGGGCTGGGCCGGGTCCAATACTCAGAAGCAGGTGGCCCATGACAACCGAGAGACGCGTCCTCTGCCCGGCAGGAGCCCAGGCTGGTCCAGGGCGGGCAGGGGCTCCCCGGTCTCTGGCCTGTCCTGACAGTTATCCTGGGAAGAGGAACTAGCGGACAACTCTGGTGCTGGTCAGGCACGAAAAGACCAGGAGAAGGCCAGCTCTGTTTCAGGTCCACTGACTGAGGGAGCCCCGGGTGAGGAGGCGGAAGCCCAGATTCAATCCAAGCTTGGCCCACGGGGGCCGGGCCGTGCACGCGCTCCCGCCTCCTCCGCGGGCCTCCGAGCCTCTTGCCTTCCCTGATACCTCCCTGGTCTGCGGTCAGGACCCGAGCGGACAGTAGTGACCGGAGTCGCTCCTGTTTACCGTGGGGGCCAGCATTCCCTCACTGGAGAACGTACCCACAAACCTGCATTTTCTAGCTTCTTAAAAAAGGACAAGACCTGGCCCTACGGGCCCACCCCGCAGCGCTGGGGCCACAGGGAGCTGAGCAGAGCGCTTTCACCCCACTTCTAGCCTCAGACTGTGGTCAGGTCTGCAGGACTCAGGGACGTCCTAGCCTCCGGGACCTGACTGTCAGGTCCCTTGTATCCCGCAGAACCACCGAGTGGAAATGGAGAGCACTGGCCCAGGCTGGGCCCCAGCTCTTGGGACAAGAGCCCCCGGCGCCTGCCGTGCTGGGCTGATCCCTTCCTCTTCTCTGTCTTCAAGTGTCTCTCCCCCACCCTTCGGCTGCTCAGAGCCAGCTCGGGTGGGAGGCTTCAAGGCAGGGTCACGGCCCTGTCCACCGGGGCCGCCTCAGCTGGACGGGAGTGGGCTGGCCAGGCAGAGAGGCTCAGGGGATCTGTGCACCACTGTCGCTGTAGCCGCCAGTGCCTGGACCCTCTGGGGAAAGGTTCCGACAGGCTTCTGACATGGCTAGCTGTGTCTCCAGGCCATTCTCCCTGCATCTAGAGTCACAGAACCTGGCCACTAAGCATGGCCATGGGACTAAGTAATGGCCAGAGAGTGAGACAGACATGGACACAGCATGCGGGATTTCCCAGAAGTGCCCCCTACAGCCCCAGCACCTGAATTGAACAGTGTGCTCCACCACTGAGCTCTACTCCTGGCCCTTTGACATTGTATTTTGAGATAGGTTCTTTCTAAGTTGCTGAGGCTAGCCTCAAACTTGCAATCCTTCTGCCTCAGCCTTCTGAGTTGCTGGGATTACAAGTGTGCACCAAGGCACCTGGCAAGGCTTTTTAACAGGAAAGGAGGTACTTCCTCCTCCATTCTGCTTCTTGGAACACGGATATGATGGCTGGGAATCCAGCAGCCATCATGAACCATGAGTGTGAATCACCTATTAGGGATGGCAGAGCATCAAGCAGGAAGATTGGGTCCCTGAAGCGCTTGTGTAGCCCCTGACTACCTACACACGCAGGCTCCTTGTCCCTGAGAGGGAGATGACTTTTCTTTCAGATGTAGTTGAACCTCATCGAACTGATACAGGTGCGGGGAAGCTTTGTTCGTGTAGGGGTGTGAGCTGAGTCTCCTGGCCCGAGAGCATCTGGAGGGGCAAGCTACTCTCCATCTGCTGGGGAATCTGCTCCGGGTCAGGTGAGGTGGAGAGGAGGAGACCTCCAGGGGTCAGGGAGACGGGAGGAGACGGGAGGTGGTCCTCCACATGGACTCCCAAATCTTTAGGAGATCCTCAACGCGTTCCTATATCG